TACAATATTTGTATTTATCAATAAGTTTTTTAGTTATGTTGATTTTTTACCGTTGAAAGTATTACAGTAGGGGAATCTGTTTCAACAACTTCTATTAATTTCATAACTAAAGTTTGTAATTTCATTTTTAAGGGTTTATTTTTTACTCAATTCTTATCATTCTTCTATCTGCTATTTTAATTAAATGTTTTGCTTCTTCCAATAATAAACAATAACCTGTTACATCTCCTTGTGTTTTTTCAATATGAATATTTATGTCCACTCCTGTTTTGAAAAGATCTTCTTGGTGAGCTGATAGATCAAAACAGAAGATTGGGTGATTAATTGCAAAATCTACATATTCAAACTGAGGTAGATTTCCGATTAATACACACATATTTTTATAGTTTCTATACAATTCATTATAATCCCTTGTGGTTGGATTAATTGTTAAAGTTGGTTAGGATAATTATCGTTGTTTAATCTTACTTGAACTTTATGGATTATAGGATCTTGAGTTTCGTTCATTGCCACTCTAAAGACATTATTGTTATTCGTTTGAGAATCTGGTAAGTTCTTGAAACCAACCATTAAATATCTTGCTGGTTTAATAGTGTTGGTGATTGGCCATGTGGTGGATTCTCCAGTTAAAATCATGCTACCTACCGTATTGCGATGAAGAAAAGCTATTTCAATATCTTTAGTTAACGAGTTGAATATTCTCGTTTCTACTTCAATTGATGGTGTTATTACGGGTATGAAAAGTTGGAGATTCGTTATTTCTAATTTTGCATCTGAACCATTCTCTCCAAAGAATATCTTATCGTCGTTGATTTCTCTTTGTAGATGAATTTTATATGGTAAGCCTACGGAAACTTTCCTGTGTTCCAACAGACCGAATAAAGGATATAATTTCCAATTTACGTAATTACCCCACCTATTATTCTCAACAACATTATTATACTGAAGTACTCGTTTTTCGAATCCATGATTAGCTGCTCGTCCTACTCTTTCTATCGTGTTTCGAGCAACAACTCTCACTCTAGCTAAATCAGCATCATTTGCAAGATTTCTTACCGGTTCCTTTAAAATACTTCCATCACCAACATCGGGTATCCAACCTGAGACTGAATCGAAATCTTTAGGATATAAAACTGTTTTCAACATTGTGTCGAATTCCCCAGGATGTTTGATTGTTTCTATCGGATTTGAACCAGCTTCCAAAACCATCTCGCTAAATAAAGATGGAAAGAAATTGTTTTCTAACGTTGTATTAGTTTGTGGTACACGATTTTCATTGGGAGTTCCATCTTTAATTTTGAAATCACATCTGAAATAAGCATCGGAAAGAAGCAACCAATTCGATAATGAATTTATTTCGAAGGTAATTCTACCACCATCATTCAATTGGGATTTAGAACCAACAGTCGGTGAGATGATAATATAATCCTATTTTTTCTTGTTAAATGAATAACGAATCGGATCGTATAATCTAAAGATTGGATCTAATATTTTATTTGCCATTTTTAAGGTTTAAAATTTGAGTAGAAAATTGTTTTTTCTCCTTCTACATTATTTTAATATGCGTTTTTTTTTTGATGGAATGTAGGAAATTGATTGAAGTTGTTTTTTAATGTAAGAATTTATGAAATGTAAGAATTTATGAAATGTAGGGAATTTAGGTCTTTTTTGAGAGCTTATATATTGAGCTCATGAAATGAAATGGAATGGGGAATTCCCTATGCGACCAATCTATAAGCTCTTATACTCTCTTTTTTGATGGAATGTAGAAAATTGATTGAAGGTGTTTTTAGTGTATGAAATGTAAGGGTGTTTAGGTGTAAGAATTTATAGGGAGTTTAGGTCTTTAAGTGTAAGAATTTATGAAATGAAGGGAATTTAGGTCTTTTTGGGAGCTTATATATTGGTTGCATTTTCCCCATGAAATGAAATGGAATGGGGAATCCCCCATGCGACCAATCTATAAGCTCATATACTACTTTTCTGGCAATCGATAGCAGTTACCAAAATCGCGCATTTATGACTTTTACAAAAGTTGGTCAATATGGAAGCGGATCCGCTACTTCATTGTATGCACAATTCTAGCTAATTGCAAAAAGAAATCAAATATCTCCAAAATTCCAGTAAGCATTTCAAGGTCAAAACGTGAGTGATATCGAAGTTTTAGAAATAGATTTTTTTTAAATCAAATTGTCTATACACCTTAAATTTTCAAAATCTTCAAATCCAAATTAGTACAAAATCTTCCATCCGTACCATTCCCAGAGCTTGCTCGCGTTGTTGCTGTGTCAGTCGAGGCATTCTGCTTGTGTTTTTTATCGTTGTGTAAGCCCGACATGCCATTCATCCAGTTTTTATACCCTTGGTGCATATGCATTTTTGTGTACAAACATAATTATTGTGTTTTAGCAATGCAATTCGGATATGTTTCCAACTTGTTTTTTTTTATTTTTGGTTAAATTTCACTTTTAAAGTAGTAAAATTTCTTTTGGCTTCAGTTTATATAATCTAGATCTAGTATTTCACACATGAAAAATATATTATGGTCTGTATGATAGCGACAAATCAACAATGAGATTGGGAAGTGCAATTGTGGGATAAGTATAATATACTATATACAAGTTTAATATAACAGTAAACTATATTGTATGTCAGTTTTGAAAATAATGAGAAAACTAGAGCCGTGCCACGGTACCAAAGCAGTGCGCATCCAACCTTATACATCGGTAAAACGTTGCATTTTAAAGTCGCAATGGGATTGCTTAACGAAAAGAAAAGCATGTAAACATTTAATATTAAAAATATCGTTTAAACCGTTTAACGTTCGGTAGTGAAGAGACGCATGAATTTGACACCATTCGGTACTGAACGGTGTTAACATTCGGTAGTAGAAATAGCTGTAAAATTAAAAGTTCAATTCGCACAACTAAAATGAAAATATGTTTGGAAAGGTCTCGTAAAGTGCAATAACTTGTGTTACGGTCAAGAGGTCAACAAAGGTCAAATAAAAGAGATTTAAGTCTTAAAAGTGTTGAAAATTGCTGTTTTGGGACGTCCGTTAAAGCGGAAATATATGTCGGACGTCAAAGATAAAAGTATGAATCGATATCATAGATCAATAACCTTTGACCTTGTAAAGACCAAAGTCATGCATGTAAATAGGTCTCGTCAAATACAATAACTTGTGTTACGGTCAAGAGGTCAACAAAGGTCATGCATGTAAATGGTCAAAATATGAAAATTTTATAAATTGTAAAACCAATTCCCTTTTTTAACGTAAAAGGCCCAAACAGAATGTAACTCTCACACTTATTGTCCCAAATAGTGATTTATTGTTATGTAAAATTTCGATGGTGACAAATGTAAACTTTGCGAGTTATAACAATTTGAAATATTTAAGGTAAAGGTAAAAGTAACCCGGATTTGCCACGCCCACTTCAAATATTTTGTGTTGTCTCTTATAATGTGTTCAATGTTAAATAATGTTCAAAATTTCAAGTGTTTACAATCATTAGATCATGAGATATTTGTATTTAAAAGTTTTTTAAGGCAACGGTGACTGTCGGTGGATTATTGACACCGTTAAATTACACACAGTTACTATAGATGTCAATACAAAATTTTCAAATTCTAAAAAGCGCAATTTTAATCAAAATACCAAGTGTTATATATCACTAGAAAGAATAGATTGTGTGTAATAAGGGTATAAGAGAAATTTTTACTATGTAAATTAGGTCACGTGACAGAGCTTTTTAAAGTTAAAACTCGCAATTTTCAATTGGCTGTAGAACCGGAAGTTAACGGTGCGCAACAAAAGCGAAAATATTATCGGATATATCTCGTAATTGGCAACAACTTTTGTTCAGATCAAAAGGTCAACAAAGGTTAAATAAAAGTAATATGAGCCTTTGAAGTTTCGAAAATTGCTGTTTTCGGACGTCTGTAAAACCGGAAGTATATGTCGCACATCAAAAATCAAAGTAAGAATGGTCATCTTAGATCAATGACCTTTGACGATGTCAAGGTCATTTACGTTAAAGTTCAAAAATAAATTTTTTTAAAATTGTTAAACCTATTCCCTTTTTTAAAGTAAAGATCGCAAACAACTGTAATCTTATCACAAATTGTCCTAAGTAGTGATCTACTTCCATGCAAAATTTCTAGGGTGACAATTGCAAAATTTGCGAGTTATGTCAATTGCAAATATTTCAGGTAAAGGTAAATGCACACCGGATGTGCCACGCCCACTTTAACAATTTTAATTTGTCTGTGATGAGGTGTACATTGTTAAATAATGTTCAAAATTGCAAGCGTTTACAATCTTTAGATCATGAGATATTTGCAGTTTTACGTTTTTTAAGGCAACAGTTACTGTCGGTAGATTATAGACACCGTGAATTAACGCACAGTTAACGCGCAATTTTGATCAAAATATCAAGTGTGATATATCACTAAAAAGGAGAGATCATACACTCTAAGAGTATATAAGAAATTTTGTCGTATGTTAATTAGGTCACGTGACAGCTCTTCAAAGTTAAAAATCGCGATTTTCAAATTGCTGTAGAACCGGAAGTTAGCAATGCACAACAAAAGTGAAGATATTATCGGATATATCTCGTAAGGGGCAACAACTTTTGTTCAGGTCAAAAGGTCAACAAATGTCAAATAAAAGTAATATGAGCCTTTGAAGTATCGAAAATTGCTGTTTTGGACGTCTGCAAAACCGGAAGTATATATCGGACATCAAAGATCAAGGTAAGAATGCTCATCCTTAGTCAATGACCTTTGACCATGCAAAGGTCAAGGTCATTTATGTTAAAGATCAAAAATGAAAATTTTACAAAATTGTTAAACCTATTCCCTTTTTTAAAGTGAAGAACGCACACAACTGTAATCTTATCACAAATTGTCCTAAGTAGTGATCTATTTTCATGCAAAATTTCTAGGGTGAAAATTGCAAACTATGCGAGTTGTAACAAATGCAAATATTTCAGGTAACGGTAAATGCACACCGGATGTGCCACGCCTACTTCAAAAATTTCAATTTTTCTGTGATGATGTGTACATTGTTAAATAATGTTCAAAATTTCAAGTGTAGATTATAGACACCGTGAATTTACGCACAGTTACTACAGAAGTCGGTACAAAATTTTCAATTTTTAAAACGCGCAATTTTGATCAAAATGTCAATTGTGATACATCACCAATACATCATGCTCTCAAAGAATATATAAGAATTTTTGTCGTATGTTAATTAGGTCACGTGACAGAGCTCTTCAAAGTTAAAAATCGCGATTTTCTAATGGCTGTAGAACCGGAAGTTAACGATGCACAACAAAAGTGGAGATATAATCGGATAGATCTCGTAAGAGGCAACAACTTTTGTTCAGGTCACAAGGTCACCAAAGGTCAAAGTCACTAGATATGAGCCTTAATAGTTTTGACAATTACTGAAAACATAAAGCCGGAAATAAAAAAAATACAAAGCCAAAATTCAAAAATCGGCTTCCCATGTTTTGTTAGCAATCGATTGCAGTTTACATAAACGTCAAATTTACGCACATCCAATTTTACCCTGAGGCCCCATTTTGAGTTTTATAAAAGTGAGTCATATCAAGATGGCGTCTTACACAATACATCCGGGTCAAATTTTGTCATTCCAAAATCTTTACGGGGACAATTATAACTAATTGCAAAAAGAATTTTTCAAATATCTACAAAATTCCGGAAGTTGAAATTTGAAGTTTGGAGGCGAATGACGTCAAAACCGGAAGTGATATCTAAATTTTGAAAGCATATTTTTGTTCGCAATCAAAATGTTTATCTACATGTAAATTTTCAGATCGATCGCAATAAAATTGTGGAAGTTTAAAAAATGCTTTAAATAAAATCTCCAAAAGTCAGCGACAAAAGTCAAAATTTGAAATTTTTTAAATTACTATCTTTTAGACATTAATATAAAGTTATCAACAAAACAAAAATTATGTTCAAAATAGATTTAGAATAATAGCAGGTATTCGAAAGGCGTAATGAACGGTTAAAGTCCTACGTCATTTCCGGTTGGGTGAAGATGCGTCATTTTACATTTTACGCATCAAATTTGGCTTGTAGTTATGATAGAGAATATAGTTTATCTGAAACTTGGTATGCATGCTTATATTGATTTGAAAATGGTTTTAAGCTGATGATTGGTTTCAGAGTTACTGCCCTTGAGCACATCAAGTAGGCAGGATAGAGTCTAGTTTTTAACTTTCTTGATGAAACATGGTTTGCATGTTAAATAACGGAACACAATTTTATGGTATTCTACTCGTTAGTAACATTAAACACTACGTTTTTTTTTTTTTTTTTTTTTTTTTTTGTTTCAACCATCTACATTGTCATCTTCAGATGAAGTGAGGAAAAAAGGTATATATATACACAAAAATAACAATAGCAACAATTAATTAGGGATTATTTGGAGTTGCAGTAAATAATAGGGTGACAATAAGCAATGATATAGAGACAATAAGCAACTAAAATGGGGGATTATATTGGTTGATTATGATGACTAATTAGGCTCTGTGAGAGAATATTGTAAATTATAGGAATAGCAAAATAAACAAATGAGTGAGTTTGAGTTAAATTAGGTTTATACAAGCATCTATCTTTCCAAATAGCAGGGAGGTAGATTCCTTGGTCTCATTTCAGTTCTGGGTTTGATTTAGAGATTTCATAGATTCCCTTATGGGTTTTGGTTTTGGTTTTGTGCTGAGCAATTCTGACGCTAGCAGAATTGGATGAGTGGTCAATGTACGTAGCTCCACAGTTGCAGTTAACTTTGTATATAACTCCGTTAGGGTCTGCTGGGCGGAAAGATATTTTACCATTGGCCTGGAGTAAAATTTTTAATGGGGTGCCTATCAAGAAATAGACTTGAGTATTGAAATTCTTCTGTAGTATCTGCTTTATCTGGTAGCTCTGGTGTCCGATGAAGGGTATGCCAATCCTTGTTAGAGGGGACTGTGTTGCTGGTCTTTGAATATTGGTATTCGAGTTCAGTGTTTTCGAAATGATGTTGATAAGATCTCAGTCAAGTTCGAAATTGATAACAACAGGATGATTGATGAGATATTTCCATTGTGAACACAATAGAGACTACAGTTTTTATCTCAATGAAATTTGGTATGCGTGTATATATTAATGAGATATATGTCAAAATCGAGATTTGTAATAAAGAGATCAACATTGTTGGATTTCGGGGAAGGGAGGGTTTGATTCTCCCAAATGTACAGGCCTAGGGTGGAGCAGACACTTTATTTAGAAATTAGGATTAAGGGTCTTGATATTGGGTTTTCTTCTGTTCTTATTCTGATCTGAAATTAGAAAAAATAACTCGCCCGATCGTCGAGAAGTATAGTATCTGTTATGTACTGATTGTTTTTAGTTTACTATGAACAATATTATCATTTAAGTTCTTATTTTTTGAATATGCAACTATCATTTTCTGCTTATAGACATGGGGGAATTTCTCTTGAAGGCTCTTATAGTGGGCATGAACTATCTTGCTTGCTCGATTGCTGGTTGTATTAAACGGGACAACAAAGGGTGCTATGCCTACATTATGATGAATATGTAGTCCTATAGGTCTTGCTCGATTGCTAGTTGTATTAAACGGGACAACAAAGGGTGCTATGCCTACATTATGATGAATATTTAGTCCTATAGGTCTTGCTGTATTCAATGTCTCAATCCAATGGGCTTCCCTAGATTGACGGAATTTGGTAGTTTCATCTTCGGGCAAGTCAATTTCTATACGCTCAATTGGGATTAGGGCGAGATCGTCGTCTATTGAATGGTCGTCGAGGTTGAAATGATTAGAAACAGGCTTGTCTTTCTTTAATTTGATGTCTGACCTATGAGCATTAAAGCGAGTTCGTAAATTATTCTTAGTTTCTCCTACATATTGTTTGGGGCATTTCTTTCATGAAATTAAATATTACATTCGAATGTTCACATGTTTGATGTTCCTGGATCGGGTACCTTTTATTTGTAGAGTTGCTTACAAAATAATGAGTTTCTGATATAAAGGGACATGTTTTGCATCGACTGGACAAACATGGAGCACTTCTTAAACCTGGAGGTACTTCGGCATAAAGTCTGTTTTTAGCTGCTATCTGTGCTAAGGTGGAATTTTTTATGTTTCGTAAAAATCGTTTAGAGTACCCACGCTCTTTCAGTTTTGAGAAAACAATCGTACAGGCTTGGTTGAAATCAGAAGATCTGGTACAAATTCGATGAAATCGTAAAACTTGTGACTTAATTATACCAGAAAAGGTATGTTTTGGGTGAAAGGAGCTCTTGTGCAAGAGTTGATGAGTATCAGTTTCTTTGAAATACACTTTAATATCCAGTTTATTTGTTTCTGCTATGGAATCTCCCTTAAAGACTGTGGTATCGAGAAAGTCTATGCTTTTGTCACTCACGTTTGCGGTTAGTTTGATAGGATGGTGGTTGTTGAGAATTTCAAAGAATTCCAAAAACTGTTCGATAGAATAAGTCCAAACCATAAAAATGTCATCCAAAAAGCGTCCGTAAAAAAGTGGGTCAAATGGACAGAGGGGCAACACCTCACGTTCCCACTCTGCCATGAAAAGGTTTGCGTACGAAGGGGCGAATCGTTTGCCCATTGCTGTCCCTGAAGTTTGTAAATATGTTTTACCATTAAATGTGAAATTGTTTCGACTAAGACAAATCTCTAAAAGCTGTAGAATTGCATCGTCGGGTCTGTTTGGATCTGGGTTTCTATTAAAAACTTTACGAACTGCCGTTAAACCAGTAGTGTTATCGATATTGGTATACATAGAAGAAACGTCGATAGAAATTAAAATAGCATTAGAGGGAACTCGAAGATTTTTTATTTTATTGACAAAATCGGTTGTGTCTTTAAGGTAGGCGCGATGTTGACATGCTAGAGGTAGTAAGAAATGATCAATGTATTCTGACACTGCATATGACTCACTACCACAGTCAGATATAATCGGGCGGCCTTTAGGGATTTTATTCGAGATAAACCACTCCTTGGTTGGATTCTTATGGATTTTAGGCAAAGTGTACAAATGTCTCTCGCGACAATCAGGTTTGGCAGACAGATAGTCATATTGTTTCTGTT